CCTGTGCGGCCGTGGAGCTACAGCTTGTTAATGCTGTTTGTTGTTCTTCTGGCATGTCTCTGCTTGCCAGCTGTGGTCACATAAGCATGTGTGCTGACATGCCTCTACTGCAGGCTCAAAACAGAAGGAACTTTTTTCACGTTTTCATACACCTTCTTCATCCTATATAGAAGAAAACTGTTTTCAGCACTCTTAACGTTGATTAAGCGCTGCAGATGTGATTTAATTCAGAATCCAGGGGTGGGAGCTGCCTAGTTCAATTAAACAGAGGTGGCACATCAGAAGAAAACTAATTAAAAAAAAAAACTTTCAGGAGTCTTGTTACCTTAGTTGGGATTATAGGACTGAGTTATGGGGTTCATTTTGAACAGAATTTAGACTTGTTGGGACATACACGGGTTGGAAAGACACCCCCCCCCCCCCCCCCCCCACACACACACACTCCATACCTACTAAAGTAAGACGTTATAGTGAAAAATCAGTCACACGTATTTTTGTCTGAATTTTTATTTTTTTTGGTGCAGTTAATAAACATGATAAAACAATTAAAAAAAAACAAGCTAAAAATCCTTCTACTTTAATTTTGTCAGAATGTTCTCAGATGCTCTCATATCTTTACTACTTTCTCCTGAAGAAAAAAAATCATCCCCATTAAAATACATTGTAAATACACATTTAAATGCCACATTTATTAGATCATAAGATCGTGTATTCTTCTCAGTAATACTTTTTTCTTTTTACCTCTATCCCTATACTTTAAATTTACGTATTAGCCCACTAGGTGGCGCTCTTGCTTTTATATTTGAGAAGATCTGTAAACATTTATTGAGACAAAGTTCAACTTACCCCCGAAAAGGTAAATCGCTGCAGAATACTGCCCCTCGTCTCGTCCGACAAAATAGATTTTTGTTTGCATGTAAAGAGCAAAAACTCACTTGTAATGTGCACAAATAAACAGTTGGTACTAAAAAGCTGTTTCACATGCACACAGGCTGCAGAATCAGATGCTGCACGGCTGAGAGCAGCTGACTGCTGTTGGTTTATCACATTAGTGGATGCATTGTGCTTGTATATTGAGTTCAGTAAAAGCAAAGAACAATTTAGAAACTAGCATTTGTTACCAAGGGTAGAGTAAAATATAATTAAGAAAATAATACAAACCGGATTCCAAAAAAGTTGGGTCACTAAACAAATTGTGAATCAAAACTGAATGCAATGATGTGGAGGTGCCAACATCTAATATTTTATTCAGAGTAGAACTCAAATCACAGATCAAAAGTTTAAACTGACAGAATATATAATTTTAAGGGAAAAATCCGTTGTTTCCAAATTTCATGGCGTCAACAAATCCCAAAAAAGTTGGGACAAGTCCATTTTTACCACTGTGTAGCATCCCCCCTTCTTCTTACAACACTCAACAGACGTCTGGGGACAGAGGAGACCAGTTTCTCAAGTTTAGAAATAGGAATGCTCTCCCATTCATGTCTAATACAGGCCTCTAACTGTTCAATCGTCTTGGGCCTTCTTTGTTGCACCTTCCTCTTTATGATGTGCCAAATGTTCTCTATAGGTGAAAAATCTGGACTGCAGGCTGGCCATTTCAGTACCCGGATCCTTCTCCTACGTAGCCATGATGTTGTGATTGCTGCAGAATGTGGTCTGGCATTATCGTGTTGAAAAATGCAGGGTCTTCCCTGAAAGAGATGACGTCTAGATGGGAGCATATGTTGTTCTAGAACCTGAACATAGTTCTCTGCATTATTGGTGCCTTTCCAGACATGCAAGCTGCCCATGCCACAAGCGCTCATGCAACCCCATACCATCAGTGATGCAGGCTTCTGAACGGAGCGTTGATAACAACTTGGGCTATCCTTGTCCTCTCTGGTCCGGATGACAAGGCGTCCCAGTGTTCCATAAAGAACTTCAAATTGTGACTCATCTGACCACAGAACAGTCTTCCATTTTGCCACACTCCATTTTAAATGACCCCTGGCCCAGTGCAAACGTCTGAGCTTGTGGAACTTGCTTAGAAATGGCTTCCTCTTTGCACTGTAGAGTTTCAGCTGGCAACGGCGGATGGCACGGTGGATTGTGTTCACTGACAATGCTTTCTGGAAGTATCCTGATGCATGCTCAATAATCCAGGTAGAAAAATCCAAAAAAGTTCAATCTGGTCCTCTGGACATTCAAAAAAAAACAAAAAAAAAAACAAAGCAAAAAAATCTAGAAACGTTTCGTCTCTCATCCAAGAGACTTCCTCAGTCTTTTTTGGAGCTTTCTGGAAGTATTCCTGAGCCCATTCTGTTATTTCCTTGACAGTGACGTTCCTGTTTGAGGTGCAGTGACGTTTAAGGGCCCAGAGATCACGAGCATCCAGTAGAGTTTTACGGCCTTGACCCTTAAACACAGCAATTGTTCCAGATTCTCTGAATCTTTTGATGATGTTATGCACGGTTGATGATGATAACTTAAAAGTCTTTGCTATTTTACGCTGGGTAACACCATTCTGGTATTGCTGCACTGTCTTTCTGTGCAACAATGGTGGAACTGGTGATCCTCTTCCCATCTTGGCTTCTGAGAGACACTGACACTCTGAGAAGCTCTTTTTATACCCAATCATGTTGTCAATTGACCTAATTAGTGTTAATTGGTCTTCCAGCTGTTCGTTATATGCTCAATTTCCTTTTTCCAACCACTTATTGCTACTTGTCCCAACTTTTTTGGGATTTGTTGACACTGTGAAATTTTGAATCAACATATTTTTCCTTTAAAATGTTACATTTACTCAGATTAAACTTTTGATCTGTAGTCTATGTTATGTTACGAATAAAATATTGACATTTGCCATCTCCACATTTGTTTAGTGTCCCAACTTTTTTGGAATCCTGTTTGTGTGTATATATATAAATATATATATATATATATATATATATATATATATATATATATATACACACACACACACACAAACTGGATATGAACGGATATAAAGATATGAACTAAGAAAAACATCAACTAAAAATACACTAAGCACTAATAGCATAAAAACATTGTCGAACAGCAGCACAAACATGAGCATGAGTCTGTGTGAGCAGATGAGCACGCATGAACACTTCAACATGAAACAGATCAGCAGCAACATGATGTGATTTTTCACAGTGATTATTCTGATTAGAGATTCATGAGTCTAACAGCCTCAGGGTAGAAGCTGTTCCTCAGTCTAGTCATTCTACACTTAATGCTCCTCAACCTCTTTCCTGAGGGGAGCGGGGCAAAAAGTGTGTGTGCTGGGTGAGTGGGGTCCTTCATGATGCATATATATATATATATATATATACCGCATCTTTTATATCGTGAGTTATTTTGATTGAATGGCCGATAACGCCAGATATACCAATTCCATGTCGATAATATTGTTTATTCCTTACTTATGTTACATTTAACGTATTTAGGCTACCTACGGTATTTATCTGCTTTCTCAGATATATTTCAACTTCTATCTGGTAATTCCAAAGTTTTGGGTACATTTCAGCCAATTTCAGCTTCTATTTGGCTGTTTTCATCTTTCAGCAATTTCAGCTTTTTGTGTTTTTTTTTTTTCCAACTACTTCCACTTTATTTTAAGCCAATTTTAGCATTTTTATGCTCTTTAGCTATTTTTAATTTCAGAGGTTTTTTGTGTTTCTTTTGGCTTTTCTCTTATTCAGCCTTTTTGAAATTTACCGGCAGTTAATTTCTGCATGTTTCTTCTAATTTTAGCTCTCTCTTTTTTTTTTTCATCTACAGTACTTTTTTGATCATTTCAGCTCTTTTGTGTTCTTTTCAGCTTCTTCTTTCGACTTTTCAGCTAATGGTACACTTTAAGTAAGCTTTAGCTTGTTCAGCAGCTTTCTTCTAATTCTTTCAGCTACAAGCATTCAAGCTGCATTTTCACCAGAAGTAAAATGTCTGTTTTGTTTTTTAATTAATTATTTGAAGGGTGGAATAATGAAACAACATACATCCTGATGGAAAAACACCAACAACCTTGACTTCATTGTGGGTCTTCTTTAATCCCCACAGGGTCAGATTTATACATACAGGCTCATATATCTCATTCTGGTAACAGCAGTGCTGAAGGTCTCAGTGTTTTAATGTTAGTGATCATGACTGACTGCAGATGTTCCTCTTTGTTTTGCAGCACCGTTCAGATCCACTCGTACTCAGAGACAGGTCATGATGTTCTGCATCTCCCGGCTGTCATGTGACTGTCCACAGGCAAGAAAACACGCACATCTTCAGGCTTCTACTGCATTTTTGCTTAAAGTTATTGTGTGTCAGCCGTGTTTATTGTGGACATCTAATGAAAACATTGTCCTAAATTAAAAGACCTGGCACTCCTTGAAGGAAACCATGCATCCTTTTTTTATCTTAGAGTTTTTCCAACCATCCATCATCTGGTTCTGGATTCAGGTCTAGAGGGCAGTATCACCCTTGTCCTGGTGAAGGACATTGAGCTCCTTGCCATATTCTGTCTGTTTACCTTGATAAATGACAAAGCTGTTTTAAAGAGTTTGGTCAAACAAATAAAATGTTATGAGTAATGTCATCATGAGCTTTACTGTGGATGATGATCGGCTACCACGTCAATGTTCAGCTCAATATCACTAAAAATGAATGGCTTATAGCTGTTTGTGTCAACTGTGGTGGATATTTTCACTTGGGCCGACTTTAAAAGTTAACTGTCCTGTAGTTCATGAGACATTTTGCTAACAGACAGACCAACAACTATAAAGATGTCAAACTGTGGTTGAGAATGCGCCTTTTATTGTAGCAGCAGGTGAGATGTGATGAATCAGACTCCGCCCACTCGGAACCGGTGTTCCGCAGGTCGCGCGCGCGTGACACAGACAAGTTGAGGCACGAGAGAAGGTGCGGCTGCGGGAGTCGCGAGAAGGAGGAGGAGCTCTCCGAGGAGGAACAAAGTTTTTAACTTCTGACGAGGATTTCTTGACGTCAGAGAGCGGAGGAGGAAGAAGGAGCGGAGGAGACTCCGACAGCAGCGGAGGTTCTGGACTCGACTAGCCGGAAATGGGTCCGACTTACTGACCAAAGAGGTACACGCTGCCTTTCTGAGTTTAGACCATCCTTCTACTGCACTGTATCCTTCTGTGGCTTTAAAGGTCCTACAGAGCCTTCTGGTTTATTTATTAAATGATATCCAGTCGAGCTGAACCCTTAAACTGCTAATTCAGTTTTTAAGAGTTGACTCACTTTTCAGCGACTGCAACCCCATGGTCATGGTTTACCATGTTGTTTAACCTTAACCTGTTTAACCATAACCTGTTTAACCTTAACCATGGTCATGGTTTACCA